ATCCATCTATTTTAAATTCTCCCCAGCAGAGACCCAGTACTGGAAGAAGACTGGGCTCCTGTAACCGACTCCCAAGCTCTGAGAGATGGTTGGGTTTCCTCCCTGCCTCTTGTTCAGAAAAGGAAATGATGAGGCGTAAAAGATCAGGGACTAGTGGAGGGAGGGAAGAAAGGAGTGATCTACAAATTATTTAAAATGAGAAGCATGCATGGTTGAACTGATGGAAGCAGATGTGGGAAAAGGCATGAAAGATTCAAGGGATCTGTCATTTTAAGTTACCAAGAACCAACCTGGTAAGCATGATAAATTCCCAAGTGAGACAAAACCAAGATGTGGTTCATCCCGTGCTTGGAAACAGCATTAGTGCAAGCGACAAGGCACATCATTCTGCACACAAATTTTTCTGCCATCATTCAGGCACTGCAAGGGGTATACCAATGGACTCTGTTCTGTTTTTGAAATATATAAAACGTGTAAAGAGGTGCTGAAACTTTTGTTCAGACAAACACTACAGAAGAGGTCAAGGCTTCATCGGTTTCTGTGGTTTCCAATAAATAGGTCTTGGAAGGCTTCTAGAATAGTGATACTCAAAGTGGGATCTGTTGACTGATGCTGGTCTGCAAGCTGTTGGCTATCAATCCATGGGGAAACTCCAGGGGGAAAAAATAAAGAGTTTGAATCAATGAAAAGACAGCATAATATCAGTCCCAGGCAAAGGGGAGGGGGGCGTACGTGCCAGTCCCGCTAATCAGATATCTTCAGAAGACTGAAATGTTGGACAGTTGGTGGATGAGCAAAACAGATGACTTCCGTTTGTTTTAATAACAACACAGGATGGGAACATTTAACCATACAGATTGTACTTTTCACAATAATAGGCACATTTATTTGGAAGTTAACATTAAAGTGTCCTATGGGCCACACTCACAGGTGTGTGGAGGAGTGTGCTATCTAATAGACTTAAGGGATTCTCTCTTCTAGGAATAGTCTGGGTGTTTAAAGGGGATCTGAAAATAAAAGCATTTCAATCTTCACCAAACGAGGATTTCCAGGATACTTTGAGATAAGTCATGACAACAGGACAGAAGGACATGAGAACAAAAAAAGTCTCTGTTTTGTTTGGTATACTTTCAAATGTGTGCAATCAGACAAAGATATAGGTGTAAGATCTAATTCTTGGTGTTAATTTTTGGTGTCCTAAACCTGTGGTGAGGGCCCCATTCTTATCCCATTTGCTTTTGGTGTGTGTCTTTCATGGTAAAAGAAATCCAGTACCATATAGGTGTCAACACCACCCAAGTCCTCAAACTGGACTAGATCAGAGGCCTTCTATCAAAGAGAAAGGAAGGAATTTACAGTTAAAGATTACATTTCCATTTAATTTTGTATGGGGCTGGGATTGTTACAAAAGGCACATTAAGTATTGTGTAAATTACCAAGAAAAAATAGTTCTTAATAAGCAGAACAAATCTAATGAACATATAGGTCAGCCAACTTAAGGTTTGTTTTTAATGCTGGCTGAAATAAAGACAGTATTTGAAATACTACAGCAGACACAAAGATGATGTCTGTAACATTTTTGCAGTGAATCTGGGAAAGGACCTCTGCTAAGTGAAAAATGCTATATGAAATCGTAAATTCAGGATCCAATGTCTTTAGAAGCAGAAAAAGCAAGAAGTGTTACAGGTGTGTGTCCCCTGCTGCCCCTAAATATAAAAGAAATCAGCTTTAAGGTTGTTGTTTTTTTGCAGCATATACAGAATGTAGAGAGAAGCACAGCCATTTGTAGAAAAAAATCTTTGTGGAAATACAGAAAGTGAGTACCAGCTCTCCCTACTGAGATCTAAGGAAAGAGTCTGCAAGAAGACAACTGGGTGCTACATGTTTTGGTGAGCATTTTTGAGACTAAATCAATAGGCAACAGAAATAAGAAGAAGCTTGACAGAACTACAGAAACAAAAGATTAAAGTTCTTTTGTTGTTGTTGTTGTTGTTGTTTTCACAATCTGAGAGACAAACAATTCTTTCAAACTTAAGTTATCAGGCTCTGAACCATCCCCTATGGCAATGCTTTCCACCAACTTGTGAAAGCCAGTGTGTGTGCCTTATTTCTTAGAGTTAGTTATGAAATGTTTCCTTAGGGTTTTCCATTTGATAAGCATCTAAAGTTCCTGTCTTTCCACATCTATTCTTAACACAATGTCTTGAGGCCAGAAGGAGAGCTATGACATCATACACTTCTAGGCTTGTGTATCGTATCTCATTCTTTCTATGTAGATCTAGTGATCAGTTAAAGTTAGGAAAAACCACCTCAGAAGTTGCACAGAGACTCTCTCTTGTTCTCACTGGGATAACAAAAGTGAACCACAAGATTTACTCTAGTCCACCAAGGGCCTTCTGGTTGCTTGGATTTGTGTCAGACCCTATCTAAGCCAGCAGACACTTTTTAAGCCGTTCTTAAGCAGAAAAAATTAAGATAACATGGATAAGTTTGAATTTACTTTACGTGTAATATTTCTTTTTTAAAATTAATATTTTATTGAGGGATGTAGTGAGGGTACATAAAAAAGGTATTTCAAAATTTGATTAAATAAAATATCTTACATAGTGTGTATGCAATGAAGATTGAGAAACTACCACCACCCAGCTAGAGAAAGAAAAAGAGAGAGATAGAGAGAAGAAGAAGAAGGAGAAACAGAGAAATAGAAGAAAAGGAGGGAGTATATACATTAGGATCCTGTTTCCTCCAACGTAAGTATATTTTGGTTTGTATCCTCTGGACATTGTCCTTCCTCCGGCCTCTCCATCTATTTTTTCTTTATAATCATCTTAAATTTTGAAGAAAATTTTGATTAGGGTCCAATCTACCTTTTCTGGTATAGGTCTCTGTCTATTTCTTAAAGATTGTATTAGACTGTCCATATTGATAATATCCAGAATTTTGAGTGTCCAGTCTTCCAATGTTCGGATTTCTTTCAATTTCCAATCTTTAGCATATGTTCTTCTGGCAGCAGTAGCCACATGTAATTTTTCTGAGTGTACACTTAGGGTTTTTAACTATAAAACCAAAAACTGGAAATACAAAGATACAAGTAATGGGGTAACCTGGGGAGAAATGTATACTGAAGTTACATTTCAAAAGTAGTGCAAAATGTGATAATGGTATTCTTTTGTGCAAGAGGTGTAAATGAGTAAGAGTCTCTAGTTCAGCGGTTCTCAACCTGTGGATCGCGAGCCCTTCAGGGGTCGAATGACCCTTTCATAGGGGTCATATAAGACCACCAGAAAACATTTTTCTGATGGTCTTAGGAACCAAGACACTGCTAATTTTCCCCACCCTGTTCGCTTCCCAAAGGCATCTTCTTCTCTGGAGGAAGGTAGTGACATCACTCAACCCCGCCCCCTCTGCCCCCTCTGCCCCCTCTGCCATTTTAGGAGGAAGAAACGAGAGTGATGGCGGTGGAGTTTTCTTTAGAGCCAAGAGGGAAGAGGAAGGAGGAGGTGGAGGTGAGAAGGGAGAAGGTGAGGGAGGGGAGCCTGGGAGGAGCACATGGCTTAGAGAGGACTGGAGCAGTTCCTCCATGGCCGAATCCCAGGGAGAAAGAGAAGTAACAATGAAATGTTACTTCATGCATATCAGATATTTACTTTACGATTAATAACAGTGGCAACATTACAGTTATGAAGTAGCAACATGAGAAATTGTATTAAAAGGTCACAGCATTAGGAAGGTTGAGAACTACTGCTCTAGTTGCTTCTGAAATTACTTTTCATGTGAACTTGATAGCAATTTTAGGGATTTTTTTCAAGTTTTATATCATTCTCTTAACAATCCTTATTTTTTTAAGTAATGAAAAGTAGCATGTTATACAATGAGTACCATAGAGAGCTATTTTGTTAACGCTACAATGAGTAAAGAAAACAAGTGACATATAAGATATCACTATGACAAATAACAGAAATGAATTTTCTATGAAAATAAACATTTTATGTTATTTATTTACTTTATTTTTATGTCATCCTTCTCCTTATATAGGGACTATAATGCTCTTAGCTCTGTTTAAAGCAGTATTGCGTGACAACTTCAATGACAATAGGATGATGAATCTGTTCTGGGGTTTGGTCTGAGACAATACTTAACATATTTTGGAGCTGGGGTCTGGAACCTTGAATATCTCTTCTGCATCAGACTAAGGCACAGCAAGGATTCCCCACTTCCCACTGTTAAAAACACATTATTCAAGTTTCTAAAAAACAGAAGCCCACACAAAAGTAAAATCATCCCAGCATTCAATAGGATTAACTGTTATGGAATGGGATTTCCCCATTTTTTTTACTTTGCAGTTTCAATTCAAGTATGTTTTTAACTGGCTGCTAATTTAATGATATTGCTATTACATCACTTGTTGTTTATAGGGATTTGTTATTTCTCCACATGGGTGTTGCTATTATCAGCTGCTTTGGCCATCGTGTTATGGAAATGGGACTGTACAGCAGACCATCTTCTTTTGTGGGAATTAGGGGTGAAAAGCCCAGGCAAAAGTGGAAAAACTCCAAATATAAGCAATTTTTTTAAACATGAGAAAACACCTCTTTAGGAATCTCTAGGCCTTCCAGGGTGGTTGTATGGTCAACTTCTGGCAGAGGCTGATTATAATCATCCCACAAGGCCTAGAGATTACTAGAGAAACCATCTTAATTAAATTTATGAATAATCAAATCAACAAATAATCAAATCTGCAAAAGTTAAACCAACAAACCAGACTGACTGTGATTGTTGTAAATAAAGAAGTAAATGAACTCAGCAGACGGCTCTCTAGTTCAGGTGATTAAAACTCTGAGAAACAGGATAAGGTTCATACAAAAATCCCAACACCTACATTTTTTTATTTTATTATATTATATCTGTAGTCATTTGTGTGTTTGTTAAGATATGGCCATGTTGCCTTCATAGAAGTTCCACCACCAAGCCTCTGGAAGCCAGAGGGAAGGGTCTCTTACCTCTGCTGAAGATGATGCTTTCGTAGGGGATCTTGTTCTTAGTCTCCAGGCTGGAGCAATTCCAACGCTGGTCACGGAACTGGTGCTGACACTCATGGATGGCAATCTGGATGCCCTGAATGGCGGAAGCGGTCACATCCGGGCTCCGCACGCAGACCTCCAACTGTCGCCGAGTTAGACCAGGCAAAGTCAGGCAGACCGTGTTGGCATTGAGCACAGGTTCCAGTGGCAGCTTCAGGCCCAGGATCTCATTGGAGAGGGAGCTGGGGAGAAAGCAGAGGGAGAGTCAGCAAAGCCAGCACCACATCCCCAGGACTCCCTGCACATTCTAGGCACATGCAAAATCCACGCTCTATTTTTAATTGTTATTGGAAATTAAATATTTAGGTGTTTTAATAATGCTTTAAAATAATGTCATTGCTTACTCCTCTTTTCAGCTTTGTACAGTAATATTTTAGTTTGATCTTTTAATTGTTTTTTTCATGTCAGGAGTGACTTGAGAAACTGCAGGTCACTTCTGGTGTGAGAGAATTGGCCATCTGCAAAGATGTTCAGCAGGGGATGCCCAAATGTTTTACCATCCTGTGGGAGACTTCTCTCCCTGCATGAGAAGCTGGAGCTGACAGATGGATACTCACCCTGCTACCCAGATTCGAACCGCCAACCTTTCGGTCAGCAGTCCTGCCGGCACATGGGTTTAACCCATTGTACTACCAGGGGCTCCATCTTTTTAAATTAATGTAAGCCATCTTGAACCCCATTTTGAGAGAAAGGTAGAATATAAATTCAACCAACCAACCAAAGAATGAGTGCATCAATAAATAAAGACAAATTTGATGCCTAACCACTGCAATTAAGGTTGGAACTAACCTTGTAACCTGATCTGGACAAATAATACTTTTCAAAAACAGAATCATACTGTCTCCCTTGATAAGTTCTTCTAAATCTTAATTTATAAAAATTAGAAACACAGAAATATACTTGAATTGATTTTGATGTGCCAAACAATTGCTGCATTGGCTAACATTTCCATGTTGCCTACTATATTTCTTTAGGTTAAGAAACAGGAAAATATCATAGTGAATGATCATATTTCATAGGAACAGGTAGAGTATCCCTTGTCTTAAATGCTTGGAACCAAAAGTACTCTTTATTTTGGATTTGTTAGGATGTTGGAGGTTTTGCATATACATAATGATATATTTTGGAGATGGAACACACCTCTAAGCCCAAAAATTATTTATGTTTCCTATATCATATACTCATATTTTGTGCATGAAAAAAAGTGTGTACATTGAAGCAAAAGAGTCATTATTTTAGCCACCCACGTGGACTATTTTGAATTTTGGAGTATTGGACTTTGGAATTCTGGAGAAGGGATGCTCAACCTGTAGCTGTTTTCTATGAACATTTTTCCTTTAAACATTTATAAATTCTGATCCAAATCCACACAAGCCTCTGTGCAGTTTGCAAAAAGATACAAAATATATACATTTGAGCATAAAATGCAAACATATAAAACACTGAATTTTAGAAAGGCTGTATTTTGAAAAGTATATACAAAAATGCTTAATTTAAAAATCTTTGAAAAACATTACATGTGTAAAGTAAACATATGTAGTACACATTTTCCTGCAGTACTCAAAATGCTAGGGAAAAAAAGTGTACGTTCAGAAAGTGAAGACAAAAATGTATACATAAGTAAAGGTAAGGGTTTCTTCTGACATTAAGTTTAGTCGTGTCTGACTCTGGGGATTGGTGCTCATGTCCATTTCTAAGCCAAAGAGCCGGCATTGTCCATAGACGCCTCTACAGTCATGTGGCTAGCATGACTGCATGGAGAGCTGTTACCTTCCTGCTGGGATGGTACCTATTGATCTACTCACATTTGCATGGTGTTGAAATGCTAGTTTGGCAGAAGCTGGGCCTAACAGTGGGAGCTCAGCCCGCTCCCTGGATTCAAACCACCAACTTTTCAGTACTGCTGATGCATAGAAATCTTCATGCAAGTCAGAAAAAGGCAACCCAACATGAATATAAACCAGAAACTAAGAGAAAAAAATGAGCGGCTGAGAAAAAAACCAATCTTGAAAAATTGCCCATATCTATCGGTTATGCACCCCTTTCTTTTTTGAAGAGGAACCTCAATGCTGGAGCCCCCAGTGGCGCAGTGGGTTAAAGCACTGTGCCGGCAGGACTGAAGACCGACAGGTCGCAGGTTCGAATCCGGGGAGAGGCGGATGAGCTCCCTCTATTAGCTCCAGCTCCTCATGCGGGGACATGAGAGAATCCTCCCACAAGGATGATAAAACATCAAAAATCATCCAGGCGTCCCCTGGGCAACGTCCTTGCAGATGGCCAATTCTCTCACAACAGGAGCAGTTGCTCCTGACACGACAAAACAACAACAACAACAAAACCTCAATGCTGGCCACTACTCACCTAACATCATTTATCTTTGCAAAATCCTCGTTTGACCTCATCAGATGGGCAAAACTGCCCGTTCTATAACACTTTGACTTCACTTGAGGCACAGAGCCTCCCATCACACAATGTTGATCTACTTCTGGTGGGGAAGTGGGGGGGGGGGGGCAGCAGCGCTTTCCCCCATGAGATGAGATGAGGGGAAGAGCAGACTGTGCGAGGAGACAGTTTCCTCCCGCTGGACCCTGCCAGATTTGCCACAATGCATGGTGAATCACAGCCTTAATGTGATGAAGTCCCTAGTATAGGTGTTCTGCATAGCAGAGAGCTGCTGCATGGCTTTGTCTTAGCTCTGTCCCAAAATGATATTCATCATAATTGAAGCGACAAAACAGGTGATCAGCTCACAAAAATGCATGCACTGAAAACTTACCACATGTCTCAATAGTACATTGTTTTCATAAAATGGATACCCAAATTCAATTTATGTGCAAAATCTGTTTTTGCACATGACCAAGAACCTACAATGTCTAATGACTGCTGCCTCCAGTGAAACCATTATTCTAATTTTAATGGTCCATCTATCAGGTTCCTCTTAGTTTTAGAAGGCAAATGAAAACTGTGGACTACAACCTCTGATATTAGTGAGAACAAACATTCAAATTACTAATAAAATCTATGTGACACATGTCAGAAGTAGGCACGTGGAATATAAAATAGACAACACTGGGTGAGTTTTAACATTTTATTTCATTCTTATGTCATGTACTCCTACAGGCTTCAGATGCCCCTTTGTCCCCATCCCATATTAAGTCAGACTCTTTGGGTCTCTGCATTGTTTAGTATGACCTTTGTTTCCCGATTAACCCGAGCAATGTTGTCGGGCTGTTTCTTTACTTATTAGGGAAAAGTCAGAGCAGAGAACAAATTGATGCTAGGTTTACACATCATGCTAAACCAGGCATTGACCAAAGAGTGTAGTTTGTCTAGCTCTTCCTGCTGAAAGCAAGAGCAATTGGGCAATTGGAGCCAGCATGCAGGGTTGTTCTTAAAGTTCTTGATTGCTATTACATGCCAATGTATGTATCAAAGCCCTATTGTGGTGCCAAGACACAAAAAAGAACACGCTGTATAGTCATCAGGCTGTGAGACATATAGGAATAAAACCATTATTGCACTTATCCTGTTGTTCCATGAAACTGTCAAATCTGAACAGCATATTGAAAAAAAAATCACAACCAATCATTCTGTCTTCACAAGACAAATTATTAGAATACAAAAACTTGTCCAGAATTGTGTTGTTGGAGGCTTTCATGCCCAAAACTCTGGGTTGCTGTGAGTTTTCTGAGCTGTATGGCCATGTTCCAGAAGCAGTCTCTCCTATTTTCTTCAGTACTATAACCCGATAGAAGATCTTAACTTCTTCAGGGTAAAAATGTACATTGTATGGGAATTTGGGCAAAAATGAGATGCCACTCTGAACACACTGATCTATTTTGATGTTGGACACTAAAACAGATTGGATCCGGTTTATACTTGGATGGGAGATAATTAAGAATGATTGACAGGACTCTTAAGGTAGGGCAAGAAAGGAAGATGTCCTGCAGCTGGTCAGAAATGGCAACATTGGGATGACTGAACCAATGTTTTGACTTATGTGCTTATAGGTGAGGAAAGGCCACTTATCTCAGGGAGTAATTGAAGAGATGGTGAGTTGTCAGAATGACCTCAGTTCCTTCCTCCTCTGCCATTTCTCTGCTGCAAATTGCTCCCTCAAATATATTATCTTCCATTCTCCTAGTTTTTTCAGTGTAAATCCCCCCACCTAAAAAGAAATGTTTAGTACATGTTGCCTTTGGGAAATGACAGACAGAAAGAGGAGTACATCCTCTTTCCCAAAGAAGCTTCTCCCAATCCAAAAGTGCTACCAGGCTGTCATTATATACATTTGCATTGAATGCAAAGTAGAGTTCACCTTGTGGGTGGCCAAAATCACTTCTTCTGGGTGGCCTAAAATACCTTCAGCTACTTTGGAAGATAACACGATAGCCACCTGAATGGAGGATTCGTACCATGAGAATGAAGAAACCCAAATGAAACACTTTGGACCAGTCTTATCTTACTTAGAGGAAAATTACCTCAGTTTCCAATATGGCCACCTTTGATATAAACAGGGGAAAATGTCTAATTAGTCTCCTTGCCTGCCCAAAGGCAAAAAAATACACTATAGATTAGTGAGAGGAAAACAAAAACAAAAATTGAAGAGGGAGGAAATGTGTTGCCTTACTGCAGTAGGCCACTCCTGAAATATTTCAAATAATAAGGCTACACTGCTCTGTTTTAAAACATGGTGTACCCACACTGCATAATGGATAGCAGTTTGAGATCACTTCAATTGTTATAACTCCAGCTTTTAGAGTTTGTTGAGACATAAAGTATTTGCTAATGGAGAATCTCCTAATGTGTGTCTGTAAAAAACTTTAATTGTCTCCCCAAATTAAAATTTCAGGATTCCATAGAATGAAGTGATGACAGTTAAAGTGGTATCAAAGTGCTAGAACACTCTAGTGTGGATATGCACTTACTCTGATATGTATTCTTGGAAGAGGGTCTTCCATAACACTATTTTTCAGGACTTATGGGCAGAAACAGTGAGCACCCAAACAGATCCAGAACTGGAATCGGAAATTGATATTAACATGTCCCTTCTGCATTTGGTGAATATCTGAATATTCAAAAATTAGCAGTGGATTATTGCCTGCTTGTCAATGACAAAAATGGTGTGCAGTGTTCTGGAAAATGTCCATTTTCTAATCTCTACATTTGAAATTTTCAACAT